GCAGTGTGACTTTGCCAATCGCTGTATCAAGAAATAACAGGTTTTCCGAATGTTTTAGAATGGCACCAACATTCACTTCGACCTTTAAATTCTGGGAAGACGGGTTGATTCCTTCTCTCTCACTCTATGAATCCAATTGGTTCCCAAGCCCTGTGAATCCTACCAGGGAAATCTTTCTTTAATTCTTTTTTTTTTTATTTATTCATGATAGTCACACACACACACACACACACACACAGAGAGAGAGAGAGAGAGAGAGAGGCAGAGACATAGGCAGAGGGAGAAGCAGGCTCCATGTACCGGGAGCCCGACGTGGGATTCGATCCTGGGTCTCCAGGATCGCGCCCTGGGCCAAAGGCAGGCGCCAAACCGCTGCGCCACCCAGGGATCCCGGGAAATCTTTCTTTAAAATGACCTTCTCGGGGATCCCTGGGTGGCGCAGCGGTTTGGCGCCTGCCTTTGGCCCAGGGCGCGATCCTGGAGACCCAGGATCGAGTCCCACGTCAAGCTCTCTGTATGATGCCTGCTTCTTCCTCTGCCTGTGTCTCTGCCTCTCCCTCTCTCTGTCTCTATGAATAAATAAATAAAATCTTAAAAAAATTAAATAAAATAAAATGACCTTCTCTAGAAGAAGAAGAAGAAAAAAAAAAAGACCTTCTCTTTATCTTTGCTGCCTTTAAGGCATTTTACTACTTAAAATGGTAGTCGTATCAGACCAGTAGCAGTAGCAGTGATTACAATCTCTCTAGTGTGGTGTTTAATCACTTTACACAGATTATCCACAGGCAAATCTTGTCAAATAAGGTCCAAAATATCTTCCATCTTCTAGAATGTCATTCGTTTAGTGCACAGTACAGCCAGGATTCTAACTCCAAGCATCCAACACCAGAATCTATATTTTCAAGACTTCGGGTTTTCATCAACTCCCATCTCAATTTTTTCTGTAGCCCTTTAGATGCCTTCTTCCTCCTGCACTGATGCCCTCCAAACCTTTATAACACACTGCAGTCAAATCTAATCATGTCACTCTGCTTTCTAAAATCCTACAACGCCTTCACATTTCTTCATGTGTTGAATTTATTACTTTTTCAGGGTCAATGAGGGCTGTCACGCTTCTCACTTCTCAATGCCTCCTCCTTTTTTGCATATTTTCCTTCATAATCTCTGCTCAAGTGACGATGAACTATTTTAGGTACCCTTTTGACTGCAGTGTCTTTCCTAATCCTATATCCTGGTGTATTAGTTGGAGTAGACTAAACTACTAGAGCAAATAGGCCCCAAAATATAATGTAGTGACTCAAACACAGTGAAAGCTTTACATAATCTTTTTTTTTTTTTAATTTAAATTCAATTTGCCAGCAAAAAGCTTTTCTTTCTTACACTTTAGGCCAAGGTGGATGTTTCCATACAGGGAGATCAAGGGATAGAGCTCTTCCCGCACAGTCATTCAAAGTCCATGACTGATGTTTGCTCTGCAGTGGCATGTGGCGTCTAAGGTTGCTGTCTCCGTCATCATACTAGTTCACAGGAGACAGAAAGTGGTGAAAGAGTGTACTTCCAAATTTTATGGATCGTTCCTAGAAGAAGCCATGCATGATTTCTGCTTCTCTTCCATGGGCAGGAACTTAATTACATGATGTTATCTGTCTCCAAAGGGCTAAGGTTTATAGTTCCTGGCTGGGTATCTATGCCTGAGATACAACAGCATTGCCATAAAAGACAAACCTAGGGATCCCTGGGTGGCGCTGCAGTTTGGCGCCTGCCTTTGGCCCAGGGCGCGATCCTGGAGACCCGGGATCGAATCCCACATCGGGCTCCCAGTGCATGGAGCCTGCTTCTCCCTCTTCCTGTGTCTCTGCCTCTCTCTCTCTCTCTCTCTCTCTCTCTCTCTCTGTGACTATCATAAATAAATAAAAAAAAAATTTAAAAAAAAAATTTTAAATAAAATAAAATTCTTTAAAAAAAAAAAAAAGACAAACCTAGATTTTGGTGGACAGATTTGCTACATATTATTAACTCTTATCTGTCCGTATGATCTGTCTCAGATCATATGCCATCCGCACTGAAAGACCTTTCTTGACTCCATATCAATTATAGTGAAGCAGCTCTATTATGAGCTCTCATAGCCAATTCCCTGTTGACATATTATCTTTTCAGTTATAGTGAGTTTCTTGATGAGAAAGACCCATTTACTGATCTTAATATTCCTTACACCTAGCGCTTTGCTTAGCACATAATATAGTAGTTCTCCAGAAAATTAATTGAATTGAACTAAATTGAAATGAAATAATATGCAGTGCTCCAAGGTTGGGGAAAAAAAAAAAAGAACCTGAAAACTATGAGACACTGGTGTTAAGGAAGCCAGGTAAAGGAATGGCTGTGTCAAATACTTCAGAGAAACTAATTATGTCTGGAAGAGTATTACTAGTTTCAGCTAATGAACAGAGGTAAACATAGACATAATAGAGAAAAGATGAGACAAAAGGTGAAACTAGGTGACAAAAAAATCTAAAGAGGATTTTGTTTGTTTTTCAGTTGAGAAGTCATAGCTTTCCCAAAAGGTATCAGAGGCTATGGAAAATAAACAGCTTGCTTGCTAATTGTTCCCGAGTGTCTAGACTTGGATTCAATTATTTTATACTAAGCATAAATAACATATGCCCTCTGGCATTCAAGGTTAATGATGTCCAATTTTTGGTTTTCTCAGTTGTCAAAGAAGTATACTTTGTAAAATAGCTGAGTAGGTATGTAATTAAAACAAGCATATTTTATTACTGGAATCAGTATTTTGAGTGACTTGAATTTTCCAATGTGTTCCAATTCTCAAAAGGTTATTTCTCCCAAGAGTCATATTCCTTCTTGCACTCTTACACTAATTGTGATTATAGTTCCAAAAAGAAAATTTAATTTTTATATCCCTTAGCTAACATCAATGCACTGTAAATCCTGAATAATGTTTGTTGCAGCTTTAATGCAGCTTTCCCTGTCATGTGTCCAAAAGAAAATATTCTGCACTTTTCTTTAAGGTTTTTTGTATGTCAAAAATGAAAACCTTCCACAAAGCTCTCCATGTTTCTTTCTTTCCTCTTACTCTGGCCTACCCTAGAGGTATGAAGGTAAATCCTGCCAAATAAGGGAAAGTTATCAGAAGATTAAGAGATTTTGAGAAAGTGAAAGAACACCTAACTCCAGAGCATCCCCCTACTTAGCAGTCTCTAGGCATGACTGTTCCTGCTACTGTAAACTTTAAAGAATTCCTGCAAGATATTCTCATAAACTTTTTTTTTCTTGGTTGTTTTTGGAACAGGGTGTGGGGGTGGGGGGGGCCGCTGGGGCAGGGCTAGGTTTTGTGTTCAGTTCTTTGCTCTTGGTTCTTTCTATATACATACACACATATATATTTAAAGAACGGTGCGGTTGGCTCTGTCCCTCGCTGTGTAGAAGCGACTCCAGCCCCGGGGGGTGGGGGCAGGCAGGGCGCTGTCCCTGGGCTCGATGGCACCGCCCGGGCCCCCTGCAGGCCCAGGCTGGGGACCATCCCAGGTCTGTGTCTGAGCGCCGGGGCAGGAGGAGGGCCCTGAGCTGGCTCCCACGCACAGGACAGCAGAGGCACCGCAGGGTTTTTTACTAAAATGACAAAAAGGAAAAAAAGGGGGGTGGGGTGGGGAGAAAGTTGGCGGCATCCTCCGCCGTGTGTGTTCTCTGTACGACCTCTCTGGAGGTCGTGGGCCGTGGCCGCCTCCCTTCGTCCCTGTGCCCAGCCTCCGCTTGTTGGTGTTGGAGGGCCCGGCCCCTCCAGGCTGGCCCCGACCTTAGGCGGCGGGCGGCGTCGGGCCAGGACGCAGGCTCTGATTGCATGCCTTCGCTGTAACGAGTCCACTTCGCTTTAGGTGTCTCTTCCCCCGCCCTCCTGCCTCCCTCCCTCGTGGACAGCTCTTACCACTTCTGTTACATTGACCCCCCCCCCCCCAGGCTGGGATTTCAGCACAGAAACAGGTGAACACCTGCAACAGCCTAAGCCACGCGGTGCAAGCGGGAGGGTGCTCCAGAGGCCGAAGACACCGAGGGCGGCACCTCTTGTCAGCCTTCCTCTTTTGTACTTGGGACACACGCAGACGTCTCGGAAACAAACAAGCCCCACCCAGTGTATCCCTTGTCAAATAACTGTGAGCAACCTCAGTTCTCCAACAATAAATTCCTTCAGTAAAGGAATCCTTTTTTTTTTTTTCAAGTTTTATTTATTGTTCATAAGTGACACAGAGAGGCAGAGACACAGGCAGAGGGAGAAGCAGGCTCCCTGCAGGGACACTGATGCTGGACTCCATTCCAGGACCCCGGGACCACGACCTGTTTGAAGTCAGGGCTATTTAAGGCTATTCAGAAATTTGGCATGTTCTCCTCCTCTTGGTAATAGGGTTTCTCCTCCTATCTTTGGGCCTGTTTTTTCCTTCAGCATTCCATCTCGCTCCCACCTGAAGAGGCCACAGTTACTGCAGTGCCTTTTGGGGAGCCTATCGAGGGAGATGCTTCTGTTTCCACAGGGACACTTGAAAAACCTCTTTATGCCGTCATGCCAGCGGTAGTCGTGCTGCTCACTGATGCAGGTCTCCAAAGGCTTGAAGTGGGTATAGGCGCACGTCTTGCATGTCACTACTCGACATTTCACTTCTCTGATGCTTCTCATCTTTTCTTCCATTTGTTCTTTTTTCACCAATGGCTCAAAATAGCGTTCTTGCAGCTCAGCCTCAGCCTCTTTGAGTATTCCTGTGTGCTTTGATTTTGCTTTTAGAATTTTCCAAAATTCTTCAGATTCCAGGTAGGTAAGTTGTTCTTTCTCTCCTTTTTTTCCTGGCAGGCTCCAACTCATCTTCAGCTTCAGGAGAAAAGTTGTGGTTCTTTTCTACACGGTCCTTCACTCCCAGGACATCTTTTTTTTTTTTTTTTTTTTTTTTTTTTTTTTTTTTAGTACAGCCTGGTTTTATTAACACAACTGGAATACTTCATCTCCATTTCCTGATAGCTAAGTAGGACACTAACAAGGCTCCAACGATTAAGGTCCCAGAAAGGCCTGCCATCCACAGAGTTTGAGAGTCTACAGGAAGACTTGAGTATTTATGGAGCTTTTCTGAGTCTTTAGGGGCTCGGAGTAGAATCATGGGACCCTTGCTAGAAATGCTAGCAGTATGGTTGTGAAAATGGAGGTTAGAGTTTCTTCTTCGCCTGGCAACAGGACAGGTTATCATACGGGACGGTGTTCCAGCAGGCTGGCAGACGGATGCACTACAGTGCAGATACACCGGTCCCCTGAGTGCCCACTTTGTCACCGAGTCTACAAAGCTGAAGGTAAAAATGCTGAAGCGCTGGTAGTAAGATGGAAATGGAGGATCCAGGACTTTCTGGACAGGAATCAGCTGCGTCTGATAGTTGTCTCCAGTGTAGGGGACCCTTTCACTAGCATGAGCCACTGGGGCTGATGCTGTGGGTTTCTGCTGGGTGTGGCCCAACAGTAATGGAGGAGCAGCCCCAGGTGGGGGTCTGTTCTGTGGCGGATAGAGACCTCCACATAAATGGGATCCCGAAGTAGCTTCACCACTGGGTAGTCACCAACAGTGTAGTAGGAACCATAGTGCTTATCCTTGGCAATCTTGAGTTCCAGAGTGAGGGGCCCAGGCTGGGTCTCAGAATGCGGTGGTGAAAATGTAAACACGTGGACATTAACTGGGAGGGCATTGCTACTTATAGAGTAGCTGCAGCTAACTCGGAGCCTGAAAATACTGTCACGGGTGATAGAACCATGGCTCCAAGTTCTAACATCTCTAGCTGCAACCAGCTCATTTTCATATACTGCCTGGTCTCCAGTGATCCGTCTTGTGGTAGGTACCACAGGAGTTAAATGGAAACCAGAATAGGGCAAAAGTGTGTGTTGCCATCACAGGGGTACATTCCACATCATTCCTGAAGGCCAAGCGCACAGAATTCAAGAGAAGTGGGGGTGAGGTCACATTCCGAGACACAGCGGTGTAGAAGTAGCCATCTTGGGTACGGTGTGAGGTCACTGTGTTTCCATAATAACAGAAATTCACCTCCGAATTGTAGCAGCAACCAATCTTCTTGCAGGCTCCTTCAGTGATGGGTGAAGGAACACAGGGCAGCCTGTCCCACACTGGGACAAAGTCACACGGATCAGCATGTGGGACATCGAGGGCTCTGTTTTGATCAGGAGAGTAACTCAAGCTAGATAACAGAGTTGGGTCTGCGGCATCCATAGGACACCCGAGCAGCTGCGTCTTTGTAACCATGTTGCGTCCAGCCACATCTGCTCCTTCAACTCCAACCAGCGTGACATAGTGGGGGTCCTGGGGAGACACCCCTGATGGTGACGCACGGGGCCTCGGCCTTTCTGGTGATCCGGTCGTCCTCACCCACTCGGTGACACACACAGCAGCCATCATGAGAGGCTTCTAACACCATGGAGCTTCCTGGGCCCTCCTCCACCCAGGTACCACGGCCAGAGTCATTCTGCAGCCTGCGTGGCAGCCCGTGGTCCTCCCAAGCTATTAGCGTCTCACGATTACGTACAGCAGTAGCGTCCAGCGGGGCGCGTCCCGGGCGGGCAGGCGGGGAGGCCCGACGCCGGCGCGGGGACGCGAGGACCAGGGTCGCCGCAGGGGCCGCGGACTCGCGAGGCGGAAGCGAGGCCGGCAGGCGGGCGGGGGCGGCCCGGCGGCAAGGGCACGGGGTGAGGCTTCTAGAAGGAGGCGCCGATCCCGGCCCCTGGGAGGTGGTGGGCAGCAGGGGTGGCAGCAGCCCCCGAGGGTCAGGAGCCAGGTACGTAGACTACCTCTTGTCATGCAGGTGCGAGGTCGAGGTCGGCAGGTGCTCGGCGACCAGGCCCCCGCCCCGAGCCCCGCAGGCGAGGGGGCCGCCCAGGGCCCGCCGGGAGCCCCGGGCGCTCAGTCCCGCTCGCGCTCCTTGCTGGCGCCCTCGGGCCGGCGCAGCTTCTCCACCGTCCCCGCCCCGGCGGTCCTCCCGCTGCACCCCGAGGCAGTCCTCCCCATCCACGTGGCTCACCTCCTCGTCCTCCCCGTCCTCCTCGTCCTCCTCGTCCTCCCTCTTCTCCTCCTCGCCCTGCGCCTGCACCTGCACCTCCATCCTCACCTGGCCCTTCACGTCCAGCACCCCCGGCGCTCCTCCTGGGGGCCCAGCAGGTGGTAGGCGGCCGTGGAGCCCTCGGGGCTGTGGCCGTTGGCGGCAGCGGGGCTGGAGGGTGACGGGGACCTGACGGGGATCTGCCGGGCCGGGATCTCCGGGGCCGAGGGGGACGGTGGGCACTGCCTCCGATTGAAGAGCAGCCCCTTCAAGGAGCTGATCTCCGACTTGAGCTCACTGATATTCTGCGACTCCAGGATCCAGTCGGTAGACGTCGTGGCATTGCAGCTGACAAAACACGGCTCTGAGTCTCTGGTTTATGGGGAAACCAAAGTCTTCACGCGTGTGGGTTCAGACAGCACAGCAGTGAGCCCCGCTCCAGCGCGGGCGGGCCGGGCGGGCCCACGGGAGGGCCCACGGGAGGGCCCACGGGAGGGCCAGCGCCCCTCTTTTGTTTGTTTGTTTGTTTTGATATTGTTTATTAGCACAGTAACAAATGCAGACCTAAGTAGTCCACAACATATGACCAATCCACTGAGCAACTCCTTTTCCACACCTTACAGTTAACAGCTTAAGGTATTTTACTACAGGTTTTCACAAGTCGTGATTCAAACCTCTTATCTTGTCGCAATAAAGTAGATTGGCATATAAAATAAAATACATAACTACTCATTTCCTGTATGGTGTCTTATAGCCACATATCCATTTTATATATATGGGATGACAGTCTCTAAGTCAGCTGCAGAGAAGAGAAGACAGTTGATCCAGGAGTCCAAGTTCTTGGGTGGTGACATGGAACATACTCATTTGGTGAAAGGGTTGGATTTTGCTCTGCTTCAAAAGGTACGAGCTGAGATTGCCAGCAAAGAGAAAGAAGAGGAAGAACTTATGGAAGAGCCTCAGAAGGAAACCAAGAAAAATGAAGATCCTAAGAATAAAATTGAATTTAAGACGCGCTTGGGCCGCAATGTTTACCGCACACTCTTCAGGAGCAAGGCGTATGAACGGAATGAGCTGTTCCTCCCAGGCTGCATGGCCTATGTGGTAGACCTGGATGATGAGTATGCTGACACGGATAACCCCACCACACTGATCCGCAGCAAAGCAGATTGCCCCACCATGGAGGCCCAGACCACACTGACCACAAATGACATCCTAATCAGCAAGCTCACCCAGATCCTTTCATACCTGCGTCAGGGTACCCGCAATAGGAAGCTCAAGAAGAAGGATAAAGGGAAGATGGAAGAGAAGAAACCCCCTGAGGCCGACATGAATATATTTGAAGACATTGGGGATTATGTGCCATCCACAACCAAGACTCCTCGGGATAAGGAGCGGGAGAGATATCGGGAGCGAGAGCGTGATTGGGAGAGAGACCGGGAGCGGGAGCGGGACCGAGAGAGAGAGGAAGAGAAGAAGAGGCACAGCTACTTTGAGAAGCCGAAAGTGGATGATGAGCCCATGGACATTGACAAAGGACCTGGATCTGCTAAGGAGTTGATTAAGTCAATCAATGAAAAGTTTGCTGGGTCTGCTGGCTGGGAAGGCACTGAGTCGCTGAAGAAGCCAGAGGACAAAAAGCAACTAGGAGACTTTTTTGGAATGTCCAACAGTTATGCCGAATGTTACCCAGCCACGATGGATGACATGGCTGTGGATAGTGATGAGGAGGTGGATTACAGCAAAATGGACCAGGGTAATAAGAAAGGCCCCTTAGGCCGCTGGGACTTTGATACCCAGGAGGAATACAGCGAATATATGAACAACAAGGAGGCTTTGCCCAAGGCTGCATTCCAGTATGGCATCAAGATGTCTGAAGGGTGGAAAACCAGACGCTTCAAGGAAACCAATGATAAGGCAGAGCTTGATCGCCAGTGGAAGATTAGTGCGATCATTGAGAAGAGGAAGAAGATGGAGGCTGATGGAGTTGAAGTGAAAAGACCAAAATACTAATCTCCAGTTCCAGGTCTAAAAATGATTCCCCAAAAGGAATGGGCTCACAAGTGCTTGCTTTCTGCAATTCCCAAAAAAGTTGCAAGGTCTCTTTGAATGTATATAAAATGTTATTGTATAATCATTTAGTTCCATTAAATCTAGTTAACCTGCAAAAAAACAAAAACAAAAACAAAACAAAACAAAACAAAACAAAACAAAAAAAAAACAGGAACTTCCAGAAGAGTAAAGGGATTCTGGTGAATATCAGATATTTTGGAGCAAAGGAGACCCTGGAAGAGTCCAATACTGCAGATTTCTTTTCTTTCTTTCTCCAGTGTTCTTCGGGCCTGGTTATGCATTCCCTGAGCACCTGGGTTAAGAATGCATACTTTGTGTTTCCATAGAACCTGCATTAATCACGAAATATCACATAAGACACTTTATTAGAATTCTCCAAGGAACCCATTGGGAAAGTGCAATTGGCTCAGCTTATGTCACGTGTCTACCCCATGACAATCACCCTTGTCACGAGGAAGGAGTCATACTATATACACGTGGCTGCCTGGGTGGGAGAAGGATTGTTAGAACAGTATTGTGGGAATATAAGGGAAGGGAGAAGAAATGTGTGGGAAATATCAGAAAGGGAGACAGAACATGAAGACTCCTAACTCCGGGAAACCAAGTAGGGGTGGTGGAGGGGGAGGAGGGCGGGGGGTGGGGGTGAATGGGTCATGGGCACTGAGGGGGGCACTTGACGGGATGAGCACTGGGTGTTATTCTGTATGCTGGCAAATTGAACACCAATAAAAAATAAATTTATTATTAAAGAAAAGAACAGTATTGTGGACAAGACATCTTTACTATGGGGACAAATTCTAGTCAGGATTGAAAAACACATGTTGGGGCTGGACATCTGAGTTTACAGATAAAAGAGTAGATTACCCACCTTGTCAGATTTTGCTTTCCTTAAGATATGAGATCTTAGAGATATATGAATTGAGGGTGGTAAAAGAACAAGGCTTGAGAAGTGCTTTCTATTTACTTAAAATGCCTCTGTCTTTTTCTTTTTTTTTTTTCTTTTTTTTTTTTTTTTTAGTGCAGCAAAACGTACTGGTAATGAATAGGTGTCACTTCAGCAAAGCCTAATTTCTAATTAGCTGTAGAAATTTCAGAGGATGCGTAAAAAAAATTCATGAGTAATAATTAGCAAAAAGTGAAATTAAGTCTGATTTTTTATTAATTATAAGACAATTTTTCCATTATTTGTTTATAAAGATGTTGTGGATTGACTTTTCTGAAAGATAATGAGCTGCCTTCAAATAACAAATATTCAATGCATTTTAGACTCAGATATCAATACTATTCTTATTTTTTTTATATATTAGAACTAATCTTTAGAAATACAAATATAATTAATATTTGTATTTATATGGATGGATTAAAGGAATACATTATGTATTCGAGGAATCTGAGAGACTTATTCTGCTTCTTGTCATTTGTATTTGTATAATTTGCTTATAATTATATTTCAAAGTTTTAATATAGTTTTTCTTCAAATTAAATGGCTTTTAACAAGTCAATTAAAATAGTTCTTATTTTTTAACAGCTTTATTGAGATATAAGTAACATATCACAAAATTCATCCTTTTAAGTGCACAATTTGGTGGTTCTTAGTATTTTCACAAAGTTATGCAACCATCACCACTATGTGTTTTCAGAATATTTTTACCACCTTCAAAAGAAATGCAGGGACCATTAACACTGGTTTCCCTCCTTTCATCTATCCTCTCATGCTCAGGCCCAGTTCTAGGCCCCCACTAACTACTTTATATCTCTGTAGGCATTCTGAGCATTTCATATAAATAGAATCATACAATATGTGGTCCTTATAGATTTATCAGTAGGTGAAGTTTTGAGTGTCTGTACATTTGGGCTATTGTCACTAATATGGATATGAAAATTTTTGCACACAAGGTTTTGTATGCACATAAATTTTTGGTTCTCTTGGATATATACCTAGGAGTAGAATCACAAGGTCATGTGATAACCCCACTATAACTTTTTGAGGAATTGCCATGTTCCTTTCTTTTCCTTTTATTTTCCCCATGTTACTTTCTTAAGCAGCTGCACCATTTTGCATTCCTACCAGAGATATATGAGGATTACAATTTCTCTATATCCTCATTCATACTGTTATTGCACATCTTTTATACTATAATCCTAGTGAGTCTGAAGTGGGTCTTATTGTGGTTTTGATTTACATTTCCTGATGGTTAACTATGTTGAGCAACTTTTTGTGTGCTTGTTTGCCCTTCCCATCTTCTTTGGAGAAATACTCAGTTCTTTTGTCTACTTATTAACTGGCTTATTTGCTTTTTCACTGTTATGTTGTATGAATTCTTAATATATTTTTGATACATGTTCTTTATCAGAGATGTGTTTGGAAAATATTTCCTCCCATTTTGTGGGCTTTTTTGATGATGTCCTTTGAAGCACAAACATTTTTTGTGTATTTTTTCTTTGGTTTCTTGTACTTGTACTTTCTTGTACATTTGATGTTATTTCTAAGAAACCATTGCCCAAACCAAGGTCACAAAGATTTATGCCCATTTCTCCTAAGAGTTTTATAAATTTAGCTTTACATTTAGGTCTATAATCAAGTTTGAATTAATTTTTGCATATGGTGTGAGGTAAGGAACTTCTTTCTTTTGCATGTGAGTATCCAGTTATCCCAAGACTCTTAGTGCAAGAACATTTATCTCTTAGTTGAGGCATTTGTGGGACAATAATTTTAAAAATTATTGATATAGTTGATAATTAGAAAAATAGTATATAATTAGAAAAATTATTGTGAGAATTTATAGGAAAAAAAAAGAATGTCTGATTTAAGGCCACTAGACTCTGGATAGCTAGGTTACTACTTTCCAAGAAAAGAAGTCTGTCCCATTATTTTCCTTCATAAATTATTTACACATTTTATCAGAAATGCTATTTGCTTCTCAGAATGTGGTTATCAGTTGACTTACCAAATACTTTAATTTCCAGATCAGGTTTTAAACTTTTTCAAAAATAAGCCCTAGTGAAAAGTTGATACTAGAGTCCCAAAAAATCTACCATTTCTCTAATAAAACTTCTGCTAAAATATTCTGTTTGCCACAGGAAGATATACAACTTAATATATAAAGGTAACATTTACATATCAGCCAGTTTCAAATGCTAAAGGAAAGCTTATTATAGAAAACTAAGTGTGAATCCTTTTGCAACAACAAATGTTTTCAGTCATTCAAATCATCACTGGTAAAACTACCAAAAGCCATCTTCTAATTTTTTAGTTGTCCAGGTATGTTAGAATCCTGGATGGATTAAAGGAATATATTATGTATTTGAGGAATCTGAGAGACTTGTTCTGCTTCTTGTCATTATTTTGTTTGTTATTGTCAGTGTCTTTGTGGATTTTTGCTTGAATCAATCCTTGCCATGGTCCAATCTGAATCCAGAAGCCTAGGCTTACAAAGATTGTATAAACCAAAATATTGTAGGATTTAAACAATTCTATGCTTTCCAAGTCAGAGAGACTGATTATTTTAATAGAAATATTATAAATCCATTTACTAGGTAAAAAATAGAAAAGCCATTATGCAAATGAGCTCTATGCAAAGGCTTTCACAACCATTCTTCTAGAGAAGGTAATATTTAATATGGAGAAATAGGGCAAACCAAAACGAATATGGCTCATTTGATTTCAAGTCTAATGCTCAGTTAATGTTGGTTTTCTGAATGGGTGTTAATTTTCTGAATGGATATTAATTATTCATCCTTTGTCACCTGTTTGGTGTAAATTTATTTCTGGTCATTATTCTCCTTATTTTTTAGGCAAATAAGTTTCTCTTTTTATAAAAATATAAGTTTCAAGAATGTCAAGAATGTGGAATGTTTTAAAGTCTCATTTGCTGCTATATTGCATAATCCTGAATAGTGTCTGGCATGTAGGAGATACTCAACAGAAATATTTTTGCTGAATGTCTATTCTATTTAGAAATAATGGAAATAGTCTCTCTGCTACACTTTGGGAAATTCAAGAAAGAAAGAAAGTTTCCAACAAATTTATAAATATTTTGAGTATGGGAAATCTATGTGATATGCTTTCATACATCTGCAACCTAAAGCCTTCCAGGAACAAACACAAACCATTAAACATAAAAGATAATCAATAAATGTTGATTGAATCACTTTGGGTAGTCCATTCTCAAGGAAGAAATATTAGAGCATATTGAATGCTTTCACTTATATACACTACAAAAATCCAATTCAGTGATAGTTCCTTCATACCATTTCTTTCTCAAAGGTCTCTGAAAGAAATAAAACCATCCAGGCAATAGTAGATTTGGAAAAAGTTCCGCTTATTCTTTTATAGTCTAGAAAACCAACTAAACCTTCTCCAGAGAAGCAGTCTACTGTAAGAGTCCCACTGAATTTGAGGAAGAGAAATTAGTTTATGCTTATTCTCCATTGTGAAATGAAGTTCAGCTTTTCTTTCTGCACTGATCCCAGAAAAGTTCTTACAAAACAAAATAATTTCAAATTTTTATTGTCTAAACAAATGGTAATTTTAGTAGATTAGACCTCACCATAATAGAACAGAATAGGGGAATTAATTCATGCATTCTTCATCACTAGAGATAACACATATGTCACTTTTGCTTGTCTTGAGGATATCTTTTATCTATTCTGTATCTTTATTTAATTCTGCGTCTGTCTAAATTTGGAGGAAAGTCAGTATAGGTGAAATAATTTTTAAGATTTTATTTATTTATTCATCTGAGACACACACACAGAGGCAGAGACACAAGCAGAGGGAGAAGCAGGCTCCCTGCAGGGAGCCTGGTGTGAGACTCGATACCAGGACTCCGAGATCATGACCTGAGCCAAAGGCAGATGCTCAACCACGGAGGCATCCAGGTGTCCCAGGTGAAAGTATTCTGATCCTGAAGTAACTATATCTGGATCCAAAGCCTAGGTTCCCTCACTTGTCAGATGGGTGATTTTGGAAATTCAGTGTCTCCACCCGTAAAAATAAACAAATAGCAAGAAAAGCCTACTTCCAACCTCATAAGTTTCTTTTAAAAATCAAGTAAGTGAATGAATACAAAACCAGAGACCTGGAATACTTAAGCT